CCACTAACCTATTTTTCTCGATCCACGGCCCTCCACGTCATCATTCCCTCTCTGGCCCACGCATCTCAAGTTCTTATCTCCGTTGGATCTTCATGTTCCTTCAAATCTGTCCATCCATGTAGTAGAAGAATTGAATAGTCACCAAGCATTATGTTCATCATCATCTCACTAATCACTAATTGCTATTTCTATGATATTGTGCACGATGTGACCTCTTTCAATTCCTCTCCTACCCAGCCTCTACTAACTGTTATTTCTATGATACGGTGCACGATATGACCTCTTTCACTTCCTCTCCTATATCACTTGATTTCTCCCTCTAACCTAGTCACCATTACGTAGGATCCTTTCCCATTCCGATCCACCACTATATACAATTATACATGCAACATGTAATGATCTTTGTTAATTAATTTCCATCTTAATCACCTTCATAAAAAAGCATCTCCATTCCTCTCCACTTCCTCCACTCACGCAGCGCCTATGCCTTTTAGTTTCTACCATAGTACTTCATTATTCTGTTCCTCTAGATCTCTCTCTCTCTATATATATATATATACACAATGCTCCACAACGAAGGAACTGGAACCATCCGCAGGCAAGTGCTGTGAGCTTATTGCTTCTTCTTCACTAGTTCTTTTGAAGGCAATTTACGCGCAAGGGCCATCGGCCACACGTATTTTTTGGGAAAAAAAGATATAATCAAAAAGGGGTCTAAGTATTCAGATTTGAGAAAAAATCGAGGAGGTTTTAGAAAAAATAATAATATTGAGAGTGTCTCTCGAGTGCGGATTGATTTTTGATAAAAAGGAAGGTTTTTTTTGCAAAAAAGCCGGAGCTCATCCGTTCTAGACTGTGGGTTGATTTGAAAATTATCTGAGGTGTTATTTGCAAAATATATTCGAGAGGCCTCAAAAATTGATTGGAGCGCGGGTTGATTTCCCCAAAAACATAAAAATTTTTCAGTAAAATGACCACGCCCGCCCGATCTGGGTAGGTCTTGCGCGTGCCGATCGAACGACGGCGGCGAGGTAAAAATTGCTTGTTTGTGGGCAGCCTGGCCACACGCTTTCTTGTCTTTAGATATCGGTTTCTGAATTCTGAAATGACATATGCTCGTAGTTCCAGTTTGATGTCTCTCCTAATATTTCTAATATTGCAGGAGTCTAAAAACGTCCAGTGTAAGTCCTGGAGCAGCTTGGTCTTATGCAGCAAAAAAAATCTCATAAGGTAATCCAGGGTTGTTAATGAGGTTTTGTTTATTTGATCTCCTTCCTACTGTGAGCACTTTTCAGGATATGACGGCCATGCCAATTTTGATGTAACATCTATAGGTCAGCTGATTAGTAATAAAAAAATTTCCAACTATATAATAATAATATTGTTATTGTGCAAACTATATATAATGTCTTTCGCTCTAACATTTTCTTAGAAAATTTTCACTTCATATTTGCATGATTAATTTATTTGTTATTTGCAAGATATCACTTTTTTAATTCCCGCAGCAACGGACGGGGTATTCACCTAGTTGCATATATGTAGGACGCCGAATGCAATCCCGTCTACTATCTAATATAACCCTCGTCGTTGCATTTTTCTCGAAGAACATAAACAAAGCATTCGTATGCTGCTTTTGTCCGATTCACGTGCCACATAAAAACCGCGATATCCTGTTTGATTTTTTTGAGACATCTGTAAATACCAGAAGAAACAAACACATTTTTTTTTGCATAAACCGGCGCGAATCAAGTGGCCTTCTCACGATGGCGAGGGTGGAGGACATATGTCAAATGTAGATATGTCCTCCACCTGGGCCAAGAGAAGGATAATATAGGAGCATGCATATAGAAAAAGTGCAGAAAAATAAGCATCAAGGTGGCTAGGTCCCTGCTCTAACACGCATATATAGCACGCTTTTGGCAGCCGATAGTGGCGGTGGTGTAAACCTTGCTTTTTTTTAGATAATACAAATTGTTCTGGTTTTAGCCCATTAAAGATAAAGCATCAATCCAAAATTATTACAAGGTTATAGCTGCAGGAACAGAACTCACAATAAAATGAGTTCGACATTATTGACCAATGCAGAAAAAAAACAACCATCCATAGGATGCAAAAAATTGCATAACTGTTGACTCCAAGTTTCAAATTATAAGCTAAAATCTGCAGTTCCTTTTGATCTTCGAGTCGCCGCAACGGCGTCCGGTGCCGTAGCCAGTACGTCCCCTTGAATGAAACCCGTAAAGAAAATTTTGGTTGGCATTTGTCAAAATAATGTCATTTTCTTGATAGCCATAGGGCCAACACATTTTGCAGAAGCAAGTGTCAAGAACTTTAGCATGTTATCTCACCCAGGTAACACTCTGTAATGGTCAGATAAACCCCTCCTGGGTCTAATTCCAAGAGTAAAGAAATAACATGCGCCAAAGAAAATTTGCATACATTTAAAAAGGAGGTGTTGAATAGATTCTTCGTTACTAATTAAGAACAACATGTTTTACTACCAAACCAAAACTCCTTCTCGCTAGGTTATCCTTCATGAGGACACCACCTTTTTTAAAAGTAGGATTTTATTCTTTAGCTACAAATTAGATTGGGCCGAGCTCTCTTTTCCGAAAAAGAAGAAGTGACATATATGCACATCGTGAGTGTAGCAAATACTATAATTAATATATATAATCCAGTAGTTCACTTGAATGCGCAGGTGAATTATGTGGATCGGCCGGCCGGGCAGGGGCATTTTGAAAACCCGATCCAGCTATAGACTGTACTTGGCATTTTGAAGACCTCGTCGACGGATTTGGTGGCTAGTGGCTGCTGCTGGTGGCTACTCTCTTCAAAGGGAACTCTCATTGGTTCGACTGGGACGTGTACGAATCGCAGGGTTGAATTAATCAGGCGACCCATGTCTTTGAACGAATCAGTCGTGTAACAACGAAATATATTATCATGCGAATAAAACACTGAAGAACATCGGACGAACAACCTGTCCAAATCATCATGAGAAATTTAAACTAATAGAGCACTGCTACGTCGACTGCTTGCGTTCAGAAAGCTTCTCCATCAAGGTTAAAGCACCCTTCCTTTTTGACCGCATGATGATGGGAGAAGACCTCAACCACCTCCACTATATGCTGCAGTAAGGCGGTAAAAACAAGATAGCGATCGCAGCCCTGTGCACAATATATATATATATATATATATATATATATATATATATATATATATATATATATATATATATATATATATTAAAAAACTGTCTTGATATGACTGTCAACAAGATCATTTAATTGATTTTGTCTAAAGCGTTGTGTGTTGAGGTTGATTTGATTTGCAGTGCATCATGGTGGATTATTGCAGCTGTTTTGGTTTGCGTGATTGTTTTCGATTCATCGGGTGTACGCGTGTGCTGCTGTCTGCTGATCAGATTTTCAGCAAATGCGGCCGATCTGCCGCGCGCAGCCGGAAAATGACTTGTGTGCGTGTATGTGTGTGCTGCTGCTGATCACTTAAGCCTTTTTCTGACTTTGTGTTCTAGAGAGCTCTGACTTTCGATCGGTTACATTATTCCTGCTTTAGAAAACGTTGATAATTTCGGAGAAATGATTGCATGCATGTTCCATATGTACTTAATTTCTATGGCGATGCGTGTATATTTAGGTGTATCTAGACTAGAAATGGATTGTTCACCATCATGCACATACATACACCTAAGTGAGACTCTTTATATGCATGCATACGCTGAACTTAATTTGCCTCCAGGGCCAACCAAGAGACTAGCAGAGAGAGGGGCATGCATGCATGCACACGTCACGCAGTGCGTTGCACTAAACAAACTGTCATCAGCCGGCTTTGTTTTCTCCGGTGTACGTTCAGACAAGACCTTCTTAGTTTCATGGGGTACTAGTACCAGTAGGGTACTGTTACTAGACTCTTAGCATGGCCTTTCTCGTACGTACGTTTGTCGTAGCCAATATAATGGCTCGTTTAGTCGTTTTCCACGGAGATTTTCTCTTCCCACAACGAACTGTGGTACGGTGTACCCGAGTTTCATTACAAGGCAACGAAATTTTACAGAGTAGGGCCTTGTTTATATTGCCTCAAAGTTCCAAGTTTTTTTCTCTCTCTCCGTCACATCAATTTTTAGACGCATGTATGGAGCATTAAATGTAGGTAAAAAAAAGTAACTAATTGCATAGTTTGGTTGTAAATCACGAGACGAATATTTTGAGTCTAGTTAATCCATGATCGGATAAAGTTTGTCAAATACAAACGAAACGTGCTACAGTGTCCAGATTGCAAAAATTTGCAATCTAAACCAGGCCTAGTGCACAGTTTTTCCACGGAGATAAAAACAAGGGAGGCTAGCTTTTACTGTCGTCTACAGTTAAAAAAAGGGAGTAGTCCGGAATTATTATTCATCAATCAGCGATATGATGATGCTCTTAAAATGTCGTCAGTTTCAGGAACCATCGATGCCTGCATCTGATTCGCGGGAGACAAGGAAACGGCCCTCCTGGTCTTAACCGGCTGCCTTTCCATGCGTCGTCTCATCAGTGGCCAGTCCAATCGGAACATGCGTTCAAATATAAACGTCCACTCGCTTTAATTAGGATTAATAATAACCTCTCACTAATCCCTGCTGTGTCTTCTTCAATCCACACACGAAACTGACTTTGTCCTCCTCTGCCGTTTTCGCTTCGCAATCGCAGGTACAAGGGAGTAGGAGCGAGCGAGTCGCCCGCCACCTGCGCCTATAAAGCAACAAGGCTAAGCCTTTCATACGCCGGCTACCTGCTTACTACTAGTCGTAGAGGCTTACTACTAGTCCTATTCCACTACTACTCCGGCCTTGACCCACCACTCCACCAGGTTTCTTCTTCTCTTCTCCGATCCGTAGCGACCGATCCATCCCATCTTCTTGCTTCTTCGTCATCGCGCGCGGTGGTACGTGCTAGGGCTAGCCTAGCTACTAGCTCCATATGTATAGCACTCGTGCCATGGAGGAAGAGGGGTTCGGGAAGTCATGGCTTGGGCTGGGGATAGGCGGCGGCGGCGGCTGCGATCTGATGAAGCGGAGCCGACCACCGGTGCAGTTCGACCTGATGCTGTTCCCGCAGAGTGTCAAGGAAGAAGCTGCCGTGACGACCGCGAGCAAGAAGGCGGAGAAAGGTGCACGAAAGAGGTTGAAGGTCACTGCCGACGACGATGGCCAGTCGTCGCACGGCGGTCCGAGTCCCAGCGACGGCGGCGGTGACGACGACGGCGCCGGCGCAGGCACGAGGAAGAAGCTCCGGCTCACCAAGGAGCAGTCGACGCTGCTCGAAGACACCTTCTGCGCCCACAACATACTCTCCCACGTATGCGTATCCTTCAGTATATGAATTTCTCAATTCCAAAAAAAAAAAAGTATATGAATTTCTCATCCATGTACTAGTTTATAGGAGTATTAGCTAGTAGTAGAATCTGAATTATATATATTGTTCGTGTCTGCACATATGGATTAATTCTTGCTTTTATACCACGTTCATGTCTAGTAGTAGAAACTGACCAAAGCATCGTTTCATGCATGTTGGACAGGCTCAGAAGCAGCAGCTCGCGCGGCAGGTGAATCTAAGCGCCAGGCAGGTGGAAGTGTGGTTCCAGAACAGGAGGGCAAGGTATGTAAAAGTTCATGCATTATTCTGAACTGGCCGCCGCTCGCATATTCTGAACTTGTTGTTCAAAAATATGATCTTTCGTCAGAACAAAGCTGAAGCAAACAGAGGTGGACTGCGAGATCCTGAAGCGCTGCTGCGAGAGCCTGACCGGGGAGAACCAGCGGCTGAGGCTGGAGCTCGCGCAGCTGCAGCGGTCGGCGGCGGCCGCTGGCCTCTACGTCCAGTCGTTCCCGCCGACGGGCACGGCCATGGCAAGCGTCTGCCCTTCCTGCGACAAGGTCACCGTGACGAGCGGCGGCGGCGAGACCAGCGGCAAGAGCTCCACCAGCTACTCCTCTTGATATGCTCGGTGTTCAATGGGCAATTGAGATTTCAGAATGGTTTAGTTTCGGGCTTCATGCCTGTGGATTTATTTATGTAGATATATAAGTGTGCGTAGCATGCATGCCACTAAAAACTTTGGTATTGATGATGACGACCTTACGATACGATCATACTGCAATTCTGCAAGCTGTTGCAGCATGCAAGCCAGCCCTGCTCTATATTATATTAGCTAGAAATGCTCCCAGATTATTGAAGGTCTGAAATATGGTTGTAATCAGTTACGATCGATTTGAGTTTTAGGATAAACTCAAAGATCATCATCTAGCTAGCACCAATTATGTAGTCACGCCAATTGCTTGTTAATTTGTTTATTTTGTTATGTTTCGTTATATATAGCTATGCTAATAACAAGTAATAACCATTCCGTCTGATGATCGATCTTCACTAGTTCTTGGAATCTGGGATGGGATGAACAAAGAAATTTTGATTTGTTGGGTATTTAATTTGTTTTCTGTCTGCGTGCTTTGATCCTTATTACTTGCATGCATGGCATAGCAGTGCTCATTTGCCACTTGCCAGAGAGCTATCATATTGTGGTCTTCGCGAATGCGGAGAGATGTAGTTCATGTGTACCACTAGTACTTTGGAAGTACTACTGCCCGTACGGTTGCCCCTGCCGAGTCAACTGTTGACTGTTGTTACCTGTTACTGTTACCTTTGTGTCCACGTCAGAAATGGTGCAAACTTCGTTTTCAGTTAATTTCGGGGAAAATGCGTTGCAAAATATACAACTCGGTTCCAAATTATTAAATGTTTTATTTTTTCTATATACAATGTTTTACTATGTATCTAACCATAATGTATATTGAAATACTACTCCGATCCGTCCTATAAAAAATATCGCTACAGGACTTGTGCTCATCAATATTTCTTAAGTTTGCATTGACTAGGTTTGTAGAAAATATTAGCAACATCTGTATCTCTAAATAAGTTTATTATAAAAAATATATTCAATGATCTATCAAATTAATTAATGATACCAATTATATACCTAAAATATTAATATATTTTTTTTGTATATATTTGGTTAAAGTTAAACTTTTTTGACTTTTTGGAAAAGTGAGAATAACACTTTTTATGAACCAAGGGAGTACATAGCAAAAACTATGTATTTAAAAAAGCCAGAACGTCCTATAGTTTGAAACATATGGAGTAGTATATAGCTTTGCAAAAGATGCTAGAATTGCATATGTTCTTCTGTCTCTAAATTTTACAAACAAAAAGAATCCAAACTATTCTCTTCAAGTTTGTTCTATATCTAGATAATCCCATAGACTAAATGTTCGGTTTGATCTACTCCATCTATTATATTTCAGCCGATCCAATTTACGCCTTAGCATTATTATTTGCTTTATGTGTTCCTCCGCATACAAGTTGAGTTTTGATTTTAAATTTTGTAAGGTGATAAATGGACATACTAACTTATCTTTCAAAATATATTATGAAATATTCATGCGCAATTTGCATTTTTAATGTTAATCTTTTACTAAATGTCCTAATTTGTCAAAATAATGATAACAAACTATGATGTATTTTTAACATAAATTATGGTGTTAGCTACCACCTCACAAATTTTGAAGTAATTAAAAGTCACCTTAAACAAGGAGAAATAAAAAGGTTATTAAGGTGTAAATTAGATCAACTAAAATAGCTAAGGGGAGTATATCAAACCAAAAGTTAATTTAGGGGTTATCTGACATAAACCAAACTTTAGCGGTACTAATTAACTAGGAACTTTATTATTATTATTATTATTATTATTATTATTATTATTATTATTATTATTATTATTATTATTATTATTAATATAAACTCTATACTCGCCTTTTATTTTCTATATATCAAGGTTTTGCAAGTGTTATAAATAAGGGATAATTGTCTGTTGGACATCCATAGTGATGATCCTTTGTTGACGGACACATATTTTGAAGCATTTTGCCAGAAGACACTCTGGTTCGGTGAAATTAGGCCACAGGACACCGCGGACCAGTTGCAGCCGATTGAGGAGAGAGAACAGCGGTGAAATGACATTCTTGCACCTGCCGCTTTCTTATTCCTTTGCATAGTTAATAAAACAGATACAGGTTAACAATAATTGAAATCCTATGAAACAGACCATTTCTTCCATTGCCAATATCTCCTACAATTAAAAATAACAAAGTGTGGATATTTTTTGGTGCGACATTTATTTTGTTCGTCCGTCTGTCCACACCTGCGATCCCACGACATCTCCTTGATTGAATATTATCTGTCATGTGATAGAGGAATCACGGCAAAATAGGAAGTAGAAAATTATTGCGCTATCCATATACACATTGTATGTTTGCATGCACTAACATACATGGCAACGAGCAAAAGGAAAGAGAATTAACGCAGAAGAAAAGAGAATTAAGATAAAAGGAACATGTTTGCATTTCTGAGAACCTTGCCAAATTTGCCTATATTTAATTATTTCTCCTCTTTGCATTTGCAAAAGAGACAGCTTTTTCCTCCTTTCATTTGGTTTCACGCTCACGTGTTCCATCGTCCTTGCTTGCTGTTTCTTGCGTGAGCCATAGTTGATGTCATCTGTCTTCCATGGCTCAGCCTCACAATCCCAAGAGAAGGTCCCTACCTCTCCCTGATTGGAGATCTGGCCTGCCAGAGGATCTCCTCGAGTCAATCGGGCAGTGTTTCGCGTTAGGCCACGACGTAGTGTCCTTCCGATCCGCTTGCTCCCCATGGCGCCGCCGTCCCGTTCGCGACCTTCGGGCCGCTCCTGCCGCTCCTGTTCGACCCCGACTCAGACCGCGCCGGCTTCTACTACGTCCCGGAGATGAAGGTCTTGTCCAAGATGCTGCTCGACGTGCGCGGCAAGGTGGCGTGTGGCTCCTCGTGTGGGTGGCCGACGCTCATGGACGAAGCTGCGTCCGTGACACTGCTGAATCCATTCGCCAATGCCCGTGTCCCCGCGTTGACCTCCCGCTAGCAGGCAAACACGTCGCGACGGCATCCTCATCGGAATGCATGTCTAGGGTCCACGGCCGGTGGGTCCTCCATCCCACCAACGGCTACGGGGACGCGGATGCCGCAGGCAGAGCCATCAAGCTAGAAGACATGAGGGACGTGTTATTCCGTGAGATCGTGCTCTCGGCGCCGCCTGACGCCGCCGGCCGCGAGTGCGTGGCCATGGCCATGCTTGGGTGCTCCACGGAGTTCGCATTCTGCCGAGTTGGAGTCGACAGCGCATGGACACTGCTCGACCCCAAAATGGAGTTCTCCGTGGGGTCCATCATCCACTGCCAAGATAAGTTCTTGGTGATCGACCGCACTGGAGAAATCTCCGTCTACAGTAGCAACGCCGCCGACGCTACTCCAACCGCGACGCTGCTGCCATCGCTGTCGCCACCTGCGGGGCTCTGCCACCGCAGCTACCTGGAATCAAACGGTGAGCTGCACATTGTGGGTGCCATGGTGAGCACGTTCCACGATACACAGAGCTTCACCTACAGCAGCGCAATCTACAAGTGCAACCTCCACGACCGTACGCCGGAGTGGTCTAGGGTGAAGGACATCGGTAATCAGACATTGTTCGTGTCTAAACATTTTAACGAAAGCTTCAGTGGAACAAGTGTATCCAAGTACAAGGAGAACAAAATCTACATGTCTGAGCCATTGTATGGGGATCCATACGACTTGGTCCATCGACTGAAGATCGTTGATATTGCTACCGGCGCATCCGAAGTGAAGCCCGTCCAGAAAAAAATGCAAGGTTCCGAGGCTCTAGGTTGGATTCGACTCAATCTCTAGAAGCTCTAGAGTTTATGAGCCTGCGACGCCGCTGCACTCCGTGACTGTGTTAAATTCATAAACTTTGCCTTTTAGATTAAATGTCACTTTAACGTTGGTATTTAATTTTTACTGTATTGTTATCTTATCTTGCGATCCATGTGTTTTTAGTACAAAATGTTAGTTATCCCGTAGCAACACACGGGCACGCTACCTGGTGTTTGAAATAAAATCAAATGTAAAAAGGTAGGACATGCTACAATTCAATATTCAGAGTATCATATATTTACAGATAGATCAGAAATTACACTGGGATCGCATATTTACGGACAGAGAACAACAAATCCTTGTCGGCTTACCACCAAAAAAAAATGGTGGCACTAGTAAATCGTAGAAGGGAGCAAAAATCACATCTTGTGATTTACCACCACCGACGGGGAAATGGGACGGGAGGAAATCAGGAAAGGATAAAGTGAGGCGGGGTGGGAGCGAGCACTGGGATCCATGTTGGGGAAGAGTGCAAGTAGATGGTGGACGAGGCGCCTCCCGTCGGCGTCCGTCGGAGCCGCCACCGCCGTGCGAGGGAGGGGGCGGCGGGACCTCTCGGGCCGCTGGTGGTGGGAGGAGGAGTGAGGGAGGAGGGGACGGCGGGAGGAGCTCGTCGGCGAAGATGGAGGAGGACCTCTTGCCACAGACTACCACAGACATGGTGCCTCCGCCTCCCAGCGCCCCTGGCCGCTGCCTCCTCGCCGAGCCGCCACACCGATCCTCGCCATTGTCGCCCTACTCCCCGCCGCCTCGGGACATCCGGCAGACAGACGCCTCTCCCCCTCCCCTCCCCCACGCGATCCGCAGCAGCTGGGCCTCGACCGCCGGTCCCTGGTCCCCCAACCTCCGGCCTCCGCGCCCTGGTCGCCGCCACGTCGGTGCTGATGGGTCCTGATTGGTCTGTGCTGGTCCTGACGGGCTGATGGGTTGGGTTGTTGGGTTCCTGACGCCTTCGTCCTCGCAGTCACAAGGGCTATTTCTATTGGCGGGGATAGGGAACAAAAAAAGGAGAGAGGAAGAAGAAAGCGGTAGGAGCAAGAATGTCATTTCATCGTTGTTCTCTCTCCTCAACCGGCTACAACCGGTCCGCGGTGTCCTGTGACCTAATTTCACCGAACCAAAGTGTTTTCTGACAAAATGC